AGCTATAGGACTAACTAAAAGGCTTCTAAGTAAACTAGAGCTGCTTACGCTAATAAATTGCTACCTGGTAGAACATGGAATAGATGCAAATATTTAAGAATAGAAATTAAACTTCAACATCAATAGTTAGGGAATTTGAGGAACATAAGTGCTTACTTAATTTTGAATTATGAATTTTGAGTCCTACATAATAGACTTTTACATTTTACTCTGTCTTAATATGACTTGGTGTTTATGACAAAGTGTCCATAATTCTCTGAGTTCTTCTGTTCTGAATGCTCTGCACCTTAAATGCACACATTAAACAAAAGGTTTAAAAGTCTTTCCTGCCTCACTGTAAGTGAGAAGAACAGGCACAGTGTCTGCAAGAAATAGATGATGGGAATTTCTCACCCTGTAGAGTTGCTGGACTTTTAGTTTTTCTCTCTCATACTTAATGGAATAATACACTATTATTTTCCATATATCAGCTGTATGATCTATTAATAGAAACAAAGTTCTGATTCGGATAACACTTTCATTGGATCACTAAAAAGTTAAAAATCAGGGAGGGGCTTTCAACCTTTAGATAACTTAAAAGCCCACCTCATGTGTGACTTTAGATAAAAGCCCACCTCGTGTGATCCAGCAATGGCATTGCCTAAACTGAATTTTACCACTCACTCTCACCAAATCTACTGACTGGCTCATTCAGTGATATTTATTAGCCTGATCAGAGAGACACAAGAGAAGTCCACAGTACCTCTGTGGCATTAAATTAGGAAGGTAGCAATGGAAGACCTCTCTAAAAAGCACCACTTCTAAAAAGTTAACTTATCAATAGGCCACGATATAAAGTAACCATTCCTAGTAACTATCTTCTTCGTGGTAATTTTCTAATGACTATTACCACCCCCTCCAAAGCTTGCTACTGTACTACTGTATACCTACCACCAGCTACTATCAGAAAGCCTAGATCTGTTACTCTAACTAGGCAACTTATTCAGTATCCAAGAATACATAAAGAGCTAAAAGGCCCTGACTTCTCTCAACATTTAATTGAATGTAACTTCATACTGGTGGTCATAATGTTTCTTCTCCCCACAATACTTTTATTCTAAAATTACTGTGACTGTTAAAAAAAGAACCTTAGTCTTTCAATATAGTAATCAAAATAAAATGTAATATATAGTAACATTTAATCTCAGTTTTATTTGCTTCATTATTTCTAAGCCTTCAGCTATTTTGAAATGTATCTATCCATTGGAACAGAAGTCCGTCTACTTCTCCCAAATGCTCTTTGCAATAGGATATGTTTTGTACAAGAGACAAAAGGGCCAGCAAAATAATGTGGAAGGGTTTCGGTTCTGTTTTTGAGTTTGAGAAGAATTTACTGACATTCACCAATCTTCCTAGACCAGTAAATGCCAGAGAAAGTGAAACGGACAGACTTTTGTATCCATCCTTTCAGCTACAGTGGACCCTCGACTTACAGACGGCTCGACTTACAGACTTTTCGAGTTACAGACTTCGCTGGCTGCAAAATTTAGATTCGACTTGCAGCCGGAGAATCGACTTACAGACCAGAAAAAAAACAAAATGGAACAAAAATAGGATAAAAACTGCCAGTTGTGGGATTAATCAGTTTTCAATGCATTGTAGGTCAATGGAGATTCGACCTACAGACTTTTCGACTTACAGCCACTGTTCCAATACGGATTAATTCCTTAAGTAGAGGTCCACTGTATCTGTTCCCACTTAACTGCCACAGACCTGTTCCCTTCTTAACTTTCTTGTGGTTAGGAAGTGGACAAAAGCTCCATGAAAGCTCGCAATTAAAATATAGCACCCAGCCTTGAAGGCACTGCGTCAGTTCTGTTCAGGACAACAGCTTAGATGAAAAACTTAACTAGAGTTTAGAACATTACTTTTTAAAAGCAACTTGTTACAGTCATAGTTTCCAATCCCTAAAGAATCGTCACTACCACCAGCCCATTAAAAAAAACACACAAATATTTGTTTTCTAGGTGTTTTAGTTACTTTAAAAAAAATAAACCATCACCGGCTAGCACCTGAAACATGTGCTATTCATCTTCTACCACTTAGTGAGGACACACTCTGATAAGTAACTTAAATGTTGCAACTACAAAGGTTGCATTATCATTCATTAAGTTATAATGGTCATGTAATTTAGACATAGCTTTGATGCCAGAAAAATTGTAAACAACTAGTTCTAAATTCTGTAAACAACTTGGTCCTTCCCATCCAAAGGGGTCTTGGGGCTTTCGTTTCTCAAACAGTAGCCTTTTCATAACCCCTTCAGTAACTGAAAGGACTTTCAAAAGGCTGTTTCTGATATAGCACCAGAGTTCGGAAATAATATGAAGTAAGCCTTTAAATCTTGGCACACTAGGGGAACTTCATGTTGAGCAGAAATGTTTGCCAGATGCTAAAGTAAGAGGCCAGGCAGGCTCGCAAACAGCAGTGTGCCTGCTTGCCTTTGGGCCTTAAAAATCTTCTGGTAATCAGGCAAATAGGGGCTTTGTGTGTGTGAATTTGATGACACTAGCCATAAATGATAAACATGAGTACAAGCAGATGGGCAGACATTTGTTGGTTAGTGATTTCTGGACACATACTGGGCTAAACAATACACTAGTTTGGGATTTATTAATTGGGGTTAATCATTTTTTTTCCTTACTCCTAGATTAACTTTCTGCAACTTTAACAGTTATTTAAAACAGAGTTACAACAGCTGTAGCTTCTTTTCAAAATGCTATCAAGACATATTGTCTTGAATTCAATTGGAAATATTGAATTGAATTAAGGAACCAGAAGTGACACCAATATCAACAACAGGAAGTAACTTGGAATTTCCAAATTCACTTTTTCTTTTTGACAAGTAATATTCTTGTTACAGCTTCTTCTATGTATCTTACTGTTGTAGCTCCAGTTAGCCTGATGAAGTAGATTGTGATCCAGAAAAACCCATGCTGAAATAAATTGGTTTAGGCTCTGTTTTTATTTTTGCTGCACATACTGAAACAGAGTACTGTAACATAGCCACCTCATGGGAAACTGTCTCTCATTCGTGAATCATAAAAAGTTACATTGTCTCAGAGATGGACATATAAAGCATTATATTCTCTAGGGATCACAAGAACATAAAACATATTTCTGAAAGCAAAAACAAAGCATGATCAGAATACTAAATATAATCACATCTGCTTTCTATCCGGAGAACAGAAACAATGGCTACAATCATACTAACAGTCCCAACTGGAATAATCCTATTGAATCAATGGGATCTACATAAATATTGACTCACTATTCAACAAATTAATCAATGTGCCTACTCTAAGGCTAGCTATAGGGTTTAGGTCAGTATCAGTTTTACTTTGCTTCATATATATAAACTGTTCTTCAGTTTATAGGAGACTTTGTTTACCAATCAATGTTTATTTCTTGTAGTCTAACTCCCAAGAATGCAAAGTACAATCCCTAAAATGGAGTAACAGGTAAAAACAGGTTTAATGGGTTTGTATCTGTCCCATATTTTCCCTGTAGTACACATATCACCATATTTTCCCTGTAGTACACATTTGCTATAATTAAAGCTAGAAAAGAGCTATGCTTAGCTGGACACTTTCAAGTTTGTAAGTTTTAGCCTGTGAGTTACTTTTACTTATATATAGCATGCTGGGGCTCTTCAGATATGCATGAACTGCTACTGCAGTCACCACTGGCCAGGCTGGATGGGGATGACGGCAACTGGAAATATCTCTCAAGGATTTCAGTACAATTATTTCCTTGTCCTAAATGGAGATGCATGGAACTCAACCTGGAACGTTGTTGTAGGTTTTTTGGGCTGTTTGGCCATGTTCTGGAGGTTTTTCTTCCCAATGTTCCACCAGACTTTGTGGCTGGCAGTTTCAGAGGACAGGAGCTAGAATTCTGTCTATGTTCTGTCCTCTGGAGTTCTAGCTCCTGTCCTCTGAAGACGCCGGCCACAGAGAGTAGCGAAACATAAGAAGAAAAACCTCCAGAACACAGCCAAGTAGCGAAACATTAGAAGAAAAACCTCCAGAACACGGCCAAACAGCCCGAAAAACCTACAACTACCATTAGATCCTGGTCATGAAAGTCTTTGACAATACATTCAACCTGGAGCCTTCTGCACACAAAGCATATGTCCTGTCAGTGAGTCACAGTCCTTCCAATAATATCTGGGTGGAGGGCAGGTTTCCCAGTCCTGTTCTGTGACCTCCAGGTTAACTTTTTTTTGCATAGAACTCCACCTTCTGTGGAGAATTTCTCACCCACTTCCCTCAGGATCTCACCATTCAGAGCCACAGAAACTGTAGCCTAAAGGTGGATCGCTAGTCCTAACTACAGCAGCTCTGAATTAAATGCTAAATGGTTGGTCAAAACCTATGTAAACCCTATTGATTCAATGGGCATCCTCTAGGTAGGATTACCAATTGGATTTAGGCCTTCCCGTTTTCTTTTTAATGAGGATTCTCTCCACCCTCTCTTCCACAGGGGTGGAGTAGGGGGTGTCTAACTGTCTCTCTCCAATCTCACAGGCATATCCATTATAA